AAGCACCAGCGGTGGCAGCTGTGGTCTGGCTTGGAGTGGTGGCTTCCTCGTGGGGCACCAGGCTGGGTATCCCCTGCCCTGCACAGGACCCGGCCCCGCAGCCCTGTACAGTCGATGGCTTGGGCAAGTGCTGGCAAAAATCAGTTGGCATGGGCCCCTGGGCCTGGGGTCCAAGGCAGGTAACACGCCGATGCTTGATACCATCCCCACAGGAGACGGAGCACTGCCAGGAAAGAGAGAAAGGAGTTGGACTGGCCCTGCCAGAGGGTGACAAGGACAGAAGTGACCACAGGCCAGGCATGACCTGGTATAATCTTTCCACATCACTGGAGGCAGGCATGTGTCTCCACTATAGATGAGGAGGCGGAGGCTCAGAGAGGCTGCTGGCATGGGTCATGCAGGGAGGAAGAGCAGGGACTCAAGCTCAGGGACATCGCTCTCGCTGTCACCCTCTCAGCCTCTCCAAGCCCTCGAGCAGGGATCAGGCAGCATAGCCTCTCCCTTTTGCACTGTCAGTCACTGCAGCCCGGCGTCCACCCTGCCCTCCTGCCTTGCACTGCCCTCGTCCGAGCTCTCATCCCCCAGCCCAGATGCCCTGGGTCCTTCTGACTGAAGTGGGTGGTGGCGGTCTGCTTTGCCTCTTCTCTACACTGTGAGTGAGCCTCTGAGGGGGACCCAGCCCATTCGCTGTTTTCTTCCTGATGCTTTGCAAGGTGCTGGCATGGGATGGCACTTGGCTTATCTATGTAGGACTGAATTATCTGCCCTTTACCTTCTAGTGTCTCCAGACTTCAGGGCCTCTTAAGGCCCAGCTGCTCCCCATCTCAAGGCCTTGCTGTCTTCCATTTCTAGGGGCCTCGACTGTCTCCTCCCTAGAAGGCCCAGCTCTCCCCCTCCTTTTGGGGGATCACAATGAATCAAAGCTCCCCACGGTCCCCATATGTGAGGACCCTCAGCTGACGCACCCCGAGCTGCAGCGCTTACCTGCGTCCAGGTGCTGATGTGCCACATGTAGGTGCAGTCGGCAATGACGCAGGGGATGCTGGCCCGCGGGCGCACCAGAGCTGCACAGGCTGCCCCGTCCACCTCTGTGTCCTGGCCTTGGTCCAGCTGCACACACGCCACCGAGCGGGTGGCAGTGCCAAGGCCACAGCTGGCTGAGCATGGGCCAAGGGACGTGACTTTCCACCTGCAGAAGGAGAAGACCCCAGAGAGAGGCCGGGCCTCCTCAGCGATGGCACTGCCCCCACTGGGCTCCTCGGATGGTTGGCCAGGACAGGTTCCAGGGCCACTGAGATCCTGAAGTGCAGCCCTGAACTCCTCCTGTCTGGTCACAGGGCTCACAGGATAGGACAGCTATGCAGGAAAGACACCTCATTTCCCTTCACCAAGTGCCCCCTTATCATCCCTGTCATCACACATCACCCACTGACACCCACAGAGTGGCGTGCTGGTCCAAGTAACAGGCGTGGGGGGCAATGCCCCAGCTTAAGGGAAAACAGGTCTCCACACCATCAGTCCTGCCCATGTTCATCTGTAATCACCCAACAAATGGTAACGCTGACACTGTTCAGAGCTGGGACTGAACCCAGGCAGCCTGCGCCAGAGCCTGGGATCCTGACCGTGGCACTACGCCCCCCTCAGGGCCAACCCCGTGGTGCCACTTCTCAGACACGTGCCTGGCGCTGCTCCAGATGCTGCGGAAACAGCGGTGACCCACACCAAGACCCCCCTCTCAGAGCCTGTGTGCTCCTCTGCCTCACAACACTAGCATTTGGGGACCATGGTTCTTTGTCATGGGGGCTGTCTGTCCACTGTAGGGTGCTTAGCAGCACCCCTAGCCTCCACCAACTAGATACCAGTCGCATTCCCCCTCCCCAGTTGTGACAATTAAAATGTTTCCAGGGCCGGCTGAGTAGCATGTTGGTTAGGAGTTGGCTTGGGACGCCAGCTCTGAGCAGCAGGGCCCCAGTTCGGATCCCACATGAGGGCCAGTGATACTG